GCGGGGGGCGGGGCCGCGGGGGGGGGGGGGGGGGGGGGGGGGGGAGCAGCTGCAGTGAGAGCTGAACGGATGCCCAGTGAGCCTCTCTGTTTTACAGGGTATGGGCCTGGAGGAGCGGCTGGCGCCGGGGCCAAGGCTGGGTACCCAACGGGGACAGGTAAGGGGCCAGCCAAAGGGGCTCTGATCACCCTGGCTCCAGGGCTCTGGGGCGGGCCATGATCTGTCCAGAAATCAGGCCAGCCCACCCTGCACTCAGATCCCCGTCTGAGCCAGAAGAAGGATCCTGGGTGGGACAGCTCTATGGCCTCTGGTGGCTATGATGCCCCCACCTACACCCATATGTGAACAGATGGCTCTCCTAGGGCTGGAGTGGAGGCCTCTGGAGATGCAGGGCCACAGTTTTCAGTCTCTCCCCTTCCCCTCCCCCAGGGGTTGGTCCCCAGGCTGCAGCAGCAGCAGCTAAAGCAGCAAAGTATGGTGAGTACCTCTGAAGTCCCTAGCTGCTAGCCCCCAGCCTCACAACCTCTCCATCCTGTTATCACTGAGAGCCTGCCTCACAGATAACTAACCAAGGCAGCCCACCCACCTTTGTCCAACTTTTTTGACCCCACCTATTCCTCCTTCCTTCCATCCATTCATCTCTTCTTCCCTCCATCCCTCTCTCCATCATCCATCCATCCATCCATCCCTTCATTCCTCCATCCATCCCTTCATTCCTCCCTCCCTCCATTCTTTCATCCATCCATCCATCCATCCACTCACCCATCTAATTATCCCTCCCTCCCTCACTCCCTCCTTCCCTCCCTCACTCCCTCCCTCACTCCCTCACTCCCTCCCTCCCTCACTCCCTCACTCCCTCCCTCCCTCCCTCTATCCATCCATTCTAGAGACCAGGGACAGATAAGAGCTCTGCTGGAGGCTGGAGGCACAGTTGTGGGACTGGAGAAGAGGGAGATATTATTTCTACTGGGGGAAGAAAATCAGGAACCCTTCTCAGAGAAAATGACATTTGATTGAGGCCTTAAAATATAGGTGGAGTTTGCCATGTGGTTAAAGCAGGAAGAAGGAGCCCGTGCAGAGGGAATGGGTACTATGGTGGTTAGAATGAGCATTTTAAAAATGTAACAGTTTAGTATCAATTTAGTGTGCACTATAAAAATTTTAACTGGCTCCTCAAGCTCATGATCCCTTGGCTGGCAGACATGGTACGCCCTTCCCTGTGCCCATGCTGTGAGCAGCATGGGCCTCTGTCCTCCTGTCCCAGGCAGTCCCAGTTCAGAGTCAGATCACTTGGGCTGAAGTCATCACCTTCATCTCCAGTGCCAGGGGAGCCCTTCCTGTAGCCATGGTGGGACCAGCCAAGGGGGCGAAAATGTGGAGGGCAGCATTGAGCTGGAGGCCCGCTCCTAGGAGGCCCCATAGGCTGTCCCTCCAGGCCCCTAAGGGTGGAATGTGGGAGCAGGAGATTGGGACAGCAAGGGACTGCCAGAGCCAGGCAGCCAGGCGCTTGGATTACAAACTTGGCGGAGCCTTTGGAACACAAGGAGAGGAAGCCTTGAACATTCCTACAGGGGCCCCTCTGGCCCAGGGAGTGGCCGCTTGTGGTTTCTCAGTATGTGGCAGTGATTAGAATGGGATTTGTCTGAAAACATACAAGTCCCTTAATGAGCGTGTTGAAATGGACACTTTGGGGGTGAGTCAATGAACAGTGGGGTGGGGGCCTTCTCAAGCAGGCCCCGCCAGAGATGCCTGGGCCTCGTTCCCAGAGGAGACTGCTAGTTAAAATGCCAGCATCCAAGTGGCCTTCCTTCCCAGCCTCAGGAGGGGCCCTGGGAGCTACATCTGCACTGTCCCCATCCCCGCAGGTGCTGGAGGAGCCGGAGTTCTCCCTGGTGTTGGTGTTGGAGGTGCCGGCATTCCTGGTGGGGCTGGTGCAATTCCTGGGATTGGAGGCGTTGGAGGTAGTGTCTGTTCCAGCAGGGGGTGGGGGTGTCCTGGAGAAGGCCACAGGGAAAGGCCTCACCCTCTGTGGCTGTCTCTCCAGGGGTCGGTGCTGCTGGGAAGGCGGCTGCAAAGGCAGCTAAATTTGGTGAGTGCCCTCAGGGGAGGAAGTGGGACTCTGGCCTGCCCTCAGGCCCTTGGAGCCAGCCCAGGCCTCTACTAGGCCTTGGAGACCTCAGTTCTCTGAGACTGAATGGACTTGGCCTTTGTCCACCTGTGGACACCTCCCTTCCACCTCCCCAAACACGCCTGTCTGACCACTCTGCCTGGCCCTGTCTGTTGTTTTTCACTGATTGGCCTAGCAATGGAGGACCCCTGTGGAGCATCCGGCTCCTCCCACCCTACTCCCAAGGCCAACCCATAGCTACTGCACCACCTGCCTGGGTACTAGTGATATGCTCTGAATTTGCTTTAGACGTAGACCATGTTCTCCCCACCCACAGACCCAAACCCTTAGAACTCCAAAGGCAATGTCAGCCCACCTGGGATCCTGCACTCAGTACCTGCCACCCCCACAGCTCCCCAGAACCATGCCCTGAGAGGCCCTTTAAGGTTCCCACAGGGTTTAGGCCAGAATAATTCTTTCCTTCCACAGGAGCTGCTGGAGGCTTGGTACCTGGTGGCCCAGGAGTTGGAGTTCCTGGTGTTGGAGTCCCTGGTGTTGGGGTCCCAGGTGTTGGAATCCCAGGTGTTGGAGGAGTCCCAGGTGTTGGGATCCCAGGTGTTGGGGTCCCAGGTGTTGGAATCCCAGGTGTTGGAGGAGTCCCAGGTGTTGGGATCCCAGGTGTTGGAGTCCCAGGTATTGTGGGTAGACCAAGTGAGCTGGGCTATGTGTGTGTGTGTGTATGTGTGTGTGTTGTAAGAGAGAAATACTGACACTATTGCCAAGACTTTTGGATTCTCCCTAACACTTCACTTATCTATCCTCTTCTCCCATACCCTTGACCATGACTCATCTTCTCTCCCTTGGGCTATAACAACCTCCTAACTAGTTACTGCCAGCATCATCTTCTCCCACTCACCTTCTCATTGCCAGTGTGCTCCTGAGGGAAGGAACCATGTCTTTTTCATCTCTATGTCCCCAGTCCTTAGATGAATAGATAGATGCTCAGTAAGTGGTGGATAGATGGGTGGGTGGATGGATGGATGGGTGGATGGGCAGATGGACAGCTGGGTATGTGGGTGAATGGCCATGTGGATAAGTAGAGGTTGAAGGATAAGAGGATGAATGGACAGAAAAAAAGGATGAATGACTACATGAATGAATAGATACATGGGTAAAATGGTGGATGAAGAGATGAATGGGTAGATGGAAAGACAGATGGAAAAGTAGATGAGGGACTAAATAAGTGAGTAGACTGATAAATGGATGGGTGGTGGATGGATGGATGGGTGAATGAGCACATGGTTGGATGAGCAGACGAATAGATGCGTGGGTGAGAGGCAAATGCAAAATGGATGGTTAGATATATGAATAGATGAATGGGTAGATGAGTGAATAAATGGATGGTCAGATGGGTTCATGGATGGACAGAGAGATAAGTGGTTGTATTGAAGTCTAAGGATAGATAGGCAAATGGACAGACACGTGGGTAGGTAAGTGGGTGGGTGAATGAGTGGTTAAGTACACAGAGGACTAGATGGAGATGTGACTGGGTAGACAGATAACTAAACATCCATTGGGTTGGCTTGATAGAGAGAAAGGAGATAGACTGGACAGATGGGTGGATGGTAGGATACATATTGACCATCTTTCCTCCATTCTCTCCTGATCATCTGTGTCCCCTTGGTCTCTCCAGGGGCTGTGTCACCAGCTGCAGCTGCTAAAGCAGCCGCCAAAGCAGCCAAATATGGTGAGTGTGTTGATAGCTCTGCCCCACCCTGTTCTGGCCAGAGAAAGGGGATGACTTGCCCAGGGTTACATAGCAGGTCACTGGCTGAGCTGGACCTGTTGGGCCCCAGGATGAGGCCATGAGGCTGAGTGATAGGAGAGTCCTAGTATGGCAGTGAGGACGATGTCCCTGCCCCTTCCCACCCCAGCCAGGGCCCCTCTCACAGGAGCCCAAGCCTGGCTGGGGAAATGGGACCTGCCCACTCTCTCTCCATAACCAACAACAGGGCCCGATCCCAATCAGAGAAGAGAGGGGTTGCAGAAATGCTGTGGGAGGGTTTCAATAAAGGTTTCCTGGAAAAGGCTGCTGGGGGCCCAGGCATTCTATGGTTTCCTGTCCTTCCAGGACCAGACTTGAGGGGGGCTTGCTCCTACTCTCCTAGTCCACCAGCACCCCCAGGACCCTCCCAGCCTCTCTCACTGATCTCCTTTTCTATCCATTCTCCTCTCTTCACAGGGGCCAGAGCCGGAGTGGGAGTTGGAGGTGGGGTTGGTGCAGGGGGCTTTCCGGGTTACGGCGGTCTTGGAGCTGGAGTCGGTGGTCTTGGAGCTGGAGTCGGAGGTGTCCCTGGAGCTGGCATTTCCCGTGAGCACTAGATCCACCTGGGGAAACAGGGCGAAGGCAGGGGGGCTTCTCTTCTGTAGAGCTTGAGGGGGTTGTGGGGTGTTGATTGGGCTGCACGTGCTCAGGGAGGCGTTGGGGAGTGTGCAGGGAGGGCCTGCAGCGCCTGCCAGGGTAGGAGAGCAGTCAGCACAGCCCCACTGAGATCCAGCAAGGTTTCTGAGGGTCTCTCTCTTTCTCATTCCGCCATAGCTGCAGCCCAGGCAGCCGCCGCCGCCAAGGCAGCTAAGTATGGTAAGTGCCCTGGCCCTGCCTGCCCCCATGCCCAGGGCAGTGTCCTTCCCTCCTGGGCAGCACCGTTCCCTCCTCTCAGAGCCTGGACCCCAGCCCTGCTCTGCCCTGGGGCCCAGGCTCTGAGCTCAGAGCAGTTCTCCAGCATGAGGACAGAGCAAGCTCACGCTCAGGCCTCCAGAGCTGAAATGGCCTGGGCCAAGATCAGGAGCCCCTGACCCCATCTTCCCAAGCCACGCTGAACTTTCCTGCCCTTTTCAATTGCCCATCCTTAGGGTTCCTGGTGCCCAGCTTACCACCCCACCCCAAACGGGCGAGTTGAAGGTGCTCACCACAGCCATTCTGTTCCCCACCCCACCTTCACCCTCTGCTCCCTCAAGGAGGGGAGCTTCGCGGGGCAGCGCTGATGCTCTTCACTACTCTAGGTGCTGGAGGAGCAGGAGGCCTGGGCGGGCTGGTGCCAGGTGCCAGAGGCATTGTACCAGGTGTGCCGGGCATCGGAGGGGTGCCGGGCATCGGAGGGGTGCCGGGCATCGGAGGGGTGCCAGGTGAGCTGTGTTCCCAACCCAGAGATGGGTTTGGTTTGCCTCGTGGAAGGGGCCCTGGAGTGGACCCAGGTCAAGGGCACCATTTTATAGATGGCAAGACTGAGCCCAGAGATGGGGAGGAGGAAAAGCAATGCCCCCCCCCTAGTGTGGAGGGAAGACCTTTTACGGGATTCCAGTCTGCTGAACAAACCTGGCTAGTCCCTCCCTCGGGGATGTCAGCCGGCTGGGTGCTGGAGCTCCGCCCTGTCAGGGCTGGGTAGCCTCGCTTACTTTAGGGTCCTTTCTGTCCCTGATCAGGTGGAAGGGCCTATGTCACCCTTCGGTTCCCCTGCACTCTTTCTCCTCCACCAATCAGAGGCCAAAGGGAAGAAATTAAGAGTTACAATGAGATTAAGTTACAACCTTCCTTGGTTCCCCCGCCCCACCACCAGATTTCTCTATTTTCCTTCTTCTTTCTGGGGGAAAATTCCCCTTTTGAGTTTCTCTCCAAAATGAGACATTTCCTCCAATAGTTTTAAAAATTAACATCGCCTTTAGCAGAAAGCTGCACAAATCCTTTAACAGAGGTTTGGAGACGGTCTAGGCCTTGGCCAGCCACCGCCCAGGCTCCCACCATCGTAGTCCGAGCTAGACTGTCACAGTCCCCGAGCTGCTTGCAGGGAAGGGACATGCCCAGGGTGGCTAGCCGGCCAGCCTCACAGCAGGCCTGGAACCCTTCCTTCTCTGGCTCCAGCATAAGGAGGCAGCACAGAGCACAGCACAGGTCTTCTGGAGGCATCCCTGGAGCTGTGGGGGTGGGGGAGAGTGAGGAGGGGTGCAGGGAGCCCCTCCCCAACCCCTTCTCTTTACCTCTCCAGGAGCTGGAACCCCAGCAGCTGCAGCCGCCAAAGCAGCCGCCAAAGCTGCTCAATATGGTATGTGTCCCGCGTGCATCCTATAGCACCGCTCTCCTGTCTCTGTTCTGGGGTCTGGCAGCCCCTCAGCTCACATTCTTGCTGTGGGCCTTTGACCCATCTGGCCACTTTCAGGTGTTAGTCAAGTCTCTGATTAGGAAAGCAAAGCGAGAACAGGCCCTGGTGAGACCACAGAACCAACCTCCGCACCCTTCCCAAAGGTCCTGCTGCCCCCAATCTAGCTGGGCCGCCCCCATTCTGGACCTCAAGCTGGTTCCTCTGGGTGCGCACCACCCTCCGTGGCAGTATTTCTTGCTCCCTGACAAGGTTCTCCATTTCTCCATAGATCTGAGGGCCACCCTGGCAGCCCCAAGCACCCACACCTTCCTGAACATAGCCAATGGCAGTAGCCCCACCTTAGAGCTTAAATGTCTACCAGGCCTGGGCCAGGGCATCTACACGCCTTGGCTTCAGGGACCTGTGGGCAGCAAGATTCAGATCAGAAAATCTAGAGCTGTCTAGGCCAGAGAAATCTTAATTTTAGGTCCACTGACCCCCCCCGAAACTCACATATGACAAACAACCCCTTTTTAGATAAAGCTGCCATTTGCTGAAGCAATCCTTACAGCAACTTCATGAAGTTGGTAGCATCATTCCCATTTTAGAGATGTGGAAACTGAGGTTCTCAGGGCTTAAGTAACTTGCTCACAGTTACACAGCTAAATGGTGGCTGAGCTGAGCTTCGAACCCGTGTCTGCCTGTCTTGTAGAGCACCCTTGACCACATAGCTCTGCTTCCACCACCCTCAGAAGTCTCAAACAGGTCCTTGTCCCTCCAAAGGTTAAGAACTCCTGACCCTACACATGCCTCATATTAGGGACAAGGAAGCTGAGACCCATAAAGAGAAGATGACTTGCCCAAAGTCCACAGCAATCTGTGCCCTAGCGGGGATGAAAGCCCAAGGCTCCTGATTCCCAGCTCGCTGCTCTTTCCATTGGCTTCTGTCCTCCTCGGTCGAGACTGGGTTAAGGATTAGTTCTTCTCGCTCTTGTAGGGTTAGGCCCTGGCGCTGGCGTTGGCGGGGTTCCCGGCCTTGGCGTTTTCCCCGGTGCTGGCGGGGTTCCTGGTCTTGGCATTGGCCCCGGCGGCGTTACAGGTAAGTTGTGTGAGAAAGTGGGCCTGAGGAGCCCCTGAATCCTCCGTGGCTGACACCCTGACACCCCCTCCCTCTCCATCCAGGAGCAGGGACCCCGGGTGCCGCCAAATCTGCTGCTCAGTTGGCCGCCAAAGCCCAGCTCCGTGAGTGCCCTGCCTGGCTTTCCCTCCTCACCCCGCCAAGCACAGGCTGGCCCAGCATGACCCAGGCGGGAGCAGGCCCCACAGTATGCAGGCTTTCAGGCCCACTGCAGGCCGGGAGGTCCCCGAGGCAGCAGACAAGGGGTTGGAGAAGCAGATTTAGCAAAGGAGAGACCCAGGTTCCAATCCGGGGCCCCACACGAGCTGAGTGACCTCTGAGTTTCCTGTCCTTGGGCATGACATGTGCGTGCTGATGGCGCCTGCTGCAGGAGGTTGTTGGGAGAATTAAATGAGTTCATCCAGAGGGAAGAGTGGAGGTTGGGCTGGAAAGGAAGGCGGTGTAGTGAGTGTGCAGCCCTGAATGCCAGCTGGGGGAGGGGCTGGACTTGGTGGTCAGCGGGAGCTCTCGGAAGGCCATTCTGGTGGCAGCACAGAGGGTGGATTAAGGGGTCTGGCCCCTTCTCTTGGGGCCTGTCTCGGCTCCCGGGCAGGACACCCCACAGGGCATGCTTCCTGCCTGCTGTCACCATCCCACTGCCCATCTTTCTCAGGGGCTGCCGCTGGCCTTCCTGCTGGCGTGCCCGGATTTGGAGCTGGTGCTGGCGTTCCTGGATTTGGAGCTGGTGCTGGTGTTCCTGGATTTGGGGCTGGTGCTGGTGTTCCTGGCTTTGGGGCAGGTGCGGGTGCAGGTGAGAGGCCTTCTAGCCTGGGCAGAAATGACCCCTGAGCTCAGAGAAAGGACACTGCATGCTCCCTCCCAGCACATCCCCCAGCACCTCATCGAAGGGCTCATAGTGAATTCCCCATTAGGTTCTCCTGAGCAGTCAGATGACTAGGGTAACAGATGGGGGGCAGGCCAGGCGAGGAAGCCCCAGGCTGAGTGGGTGGGCCCACCTGACTCGCCCCCAGCAGTATGCTGTGGCCACTAGGAGCTCCAGTTTCTCACCTGGTGGTTACTGAGCCTGAAGGGGCTGGGAGGGGCAGATGGAAGGAGGAGGCATAGTCCAGCCCTCACGTGCTCCCAGACCAGACTGGCAGAGACATGGTTAGTGACGGGAGATCTACCCGGGCAGGGTGAGCTCCTGGCTGGGGAGCCACAGCTTCAGGGCTTTGAGAGGAGCAAAGAAGGCCAAGGAAGGCAGGGAGGGCTCCCAGGAGGAAGCAGTACCCCGCAGCACAGAGCTCAGCTGCTGACCACCCCACATTTCCTTTTTCCTTTTTCTGCAGTACCTGGATCCTTGGCTGCTGCTAAAGCAGCCAAATATGGTGAGTGCCCCCACACTGGCCACCACAGTTGGTTCCACTGCTGCCCCACCCTCCCTGATGCACTGGTCACCCTTCTCCCCTCCCTCTGGGCCAGGGCCGCATGCCCGGCGCCTGCAGCACAGGGCTGGGATGGTCAGGGTGGAAAAAGGCAGTTTCTAGGACACATTCATGACAGTTTAGCAGACCTGGCTCCTGCCCACGAAATGCCTATCGAGCCTCCAGCCCTGGGACAACCAAAAAGCCCCCTCACATTTCCGGCCTCCCTGGGAGCAAGTCCACCTTGGTGAAAACCGTGGTCCCCAGGGGCCCCTGTGGCCCTCAGTTTTGTGGGCCCAGGGCAGGGTTGCTGTCAGCGAGGCAGCTTCTGCCTCCTGGCCAGCAGAGCCCCGGCCCCCCGCCCACCTCCCAGTCAGCATGACTGCGCCTGCCACGAGCCACGAAGACGTGGCAGACAAGCCTGCCCCTCCACTTGGCGCTCAGCAGCCCTGGCTGGCCAGACCCACACTGTCTGTGGCCCCTGAATTCTTGGCCTTCTGAGAGCCAGGCCAGGGCCTCTGCCAGGGAAACACCAATCAGCCCGGCCAGTCCACTTGGGGCCAGTTTCCACCTCGGAAAATCCCAGTCTCCTCAGTCCCACCCCTGGCGGGCCCGGTGACCCACAAGCCTTCTCCTGTTCCTTGCTGGCTGCTCTGCCAGCCGGAGTCTAGCGCATTTTGCCAGGGAAACAAAGCAGCTAAGGGGACAGGCTCCAAAGCCACTTCCTGCCTGTGGCACCTTGAGCATATTGCTTAACCTCTGCTGCGTCTCAATTTTCTCATCTGCAAAGTGGGGATGACAATAGTCCCCACCTTTCCTGTTGCAATGAATAATAAGCAGGCTAATCTGTGAGAAGCACTGAGAACTGTGGAACTCCTGCTGCTGCTATTTGTAGCAGCTCTGCTCTGGACAACAGTTCAAAACTCAGGGTACATTCCCGGATGGTGTGTTCTTTTACTCTCCAAACACCTGTAGGGTGAGTGGGGTACGGATCATCATCTCCTTTAGGGAGAGGTGGCAGCTCAGAGAGGCTCTAATGAGTGGAGAAAGCAGGATTGGAACCCAGGACTGTCAGTACCTGAGACTAGTCTTCCCTCTTCCGCAGCTTGTGGCCACCTGTGGCTCCAGTGCTAGCCCAGGGGGATGGAGAAAAGATGGGCAGGCCAAGGCTCAAGGAAGCTCGCTCTATTCTTTTCTTGGTTGTTGTTTTTTTAAATAGAATTTTATTGATTTCAGAGAAGAAGGGAGAGGGAGAGAGAGAGAAAAGCATCAATGATGATAGAGAATCATCAATTAGCTGCCTCCTGCATGGCCCCTATTGGGGACTGAGCCCACAACCTGGGCATGTGCCCCGACCAGGAATCGAACTGTGACCACCCAGTTCATAGGTCATCATTGAACCACTGAGCTACACTGGCCGGGCAAGGAAGCTCGCTCTTGACTGATTGGTCAGGGACATGGGCCCAGGTGCCTGGGAATGGACTTCTGTCCAGTGCTCCTTCCACTGGGTCACCTGGCCTCGACCACCCGTCTGCTTGGCTAACGCCCCTGGGTCAGGGAGACCCTGTCCTTCAGAAATGGGGGACTGACTCTCTGCCCCTCTCCTCAGGAGCAGGAGGGCCTGGGGGCCTTGGCGGGGTTGGAGGTCTTGGTGGTCTTGGTGGAGCAGGTGTCCCAGGTGGTGTGGCAGGTGAGTTGAAACCCCAGGACGGGCTGGGCAGGGAGGGAGACGGACCCGTGGAGAATTGCTCCCTGAGCTCCCTCTGTGTCCTCAGGAGCCGGACCTGCTGCCTTGGCTGCTGCTGCCAAGGCTGCTGCCAAAGCTGGCCAATATGGTGAGCACTGTGTAGAGGTGGGGGCTGCCAACAGTCCCCAGGGTTTGGGGGGCCTCAGACCATGCACTATGGAGCACTATTCCCTGCCCTGCCCCTGAGGCCCTCAGGGGCATTGTCTCCCCGGGGCCCAGCCACCTCCTGGCCCCACAACCCACAAAGGCTCTGGAAGCTCAGGCTCCACCTGGGGACTGGGAGGAAAACTTCAGCTCTTAGCTCTTCACAGACGAGCAGCAGGGGTCAACGAGATGGGGTTTTAACACCCAGCTCTCTCCGCAGGCCTTGGGGCTGGAGGGCTCGGAGCTGGCGGGCTCGGAGCTGGAGGACTGGGACTTGGAGGTGTCCCAGGGGCTGGGGGCTTTGGAGGTAAGAGGCTGCTCTAGAATCTATTAGTTTATTGTGAGTGAATGAGTGTGTGTGTGGAGAGAGAAAGAGAGAGAGAGAGAGAGAGAGAGAGAGAGAGAGAGAGAGAGCCCTTCCCATTTGCCACATCTTGCTCACTCAGGGCTGTGGTGGGCCTGCCCCCTTCTCTTGCTCCTCCAGCGTTTAGAGGGGCCTGAGCAAGCAGGGGTGAGGGCTGCTTCTTGCAGCTGGGATCCGACCCTCCCTCTCCCTCTCCTCTCCTTCAACCCACATGACCACATCAAGTGGGAGTTCGTTAGGATAATGATGGTCATGCCCACTTACTGGGGAAGAAAACCAAAGCCGTTCTTGTGTTGACATGTCACTCTTTCTTGGGTCGTCATTGTATCTCCCTACCGCTGGGGAAGAAAACCAAAGCTTGGACGGAATTACTTTTCCAAAGTCTCTGCCATCCTGGGCCTTGTGTCACTCTTTCTTGGGTCGTCATTGTATCTCCCTACCTAAACCTGCCTGAAGTCTCTTCCTGTGTGCGCCACAAGACTGGACACACAGTAGGCGCTTAATAAAGACTTTCGGAAAGTTGGATAAAGGAGGGGTGGAGGGATGGCGGAAGGATGAGTCGGTGGGCAGATGGTAAACAGTGAACAGGTCAGAAGGGGGACATGACTGGGAGGGAAGGGATATTTCTGGGCTCTCATGCACCCCATCTCCCCAGGTGTGTCCCCAGCTGCAGCTGCTAAAGCAGCCAAATATGGTGAGTGGCTCCCTGCTGCCCTCCTCCTGCCCAGGTCTGTAGGCTGCTAATACGCCCCATCCTGACCATCCCGTCTCACCCACTCAGGCCTCAATCCTGCTCAGTCCTAACAGCCTGTCCGGGATCTCCCTGACTCCAGAACCCGGAGGGGAGGCTCATGGCTCCTTAGACTGTACCTTGTCGCAAACCCCATCTGCCCTCTTCTCAGGTGCCGCTGGCCTTGGAGGCGTCCTAGGAGCTGCCAGGCCATTCCCAGGTGGAGGTAGGGCCATCTCTGCTGTGCAACCCTGGGGCTGCAGCTAGCACAAGGCCACAAAGGGGAGCGGGGAGGGGAGAGGGAAGAAGGGAGAAGGGAGAGGGGAGAGGGGAGAGGGGACAGTCCAGGAAAGGAGACATCCTGGGCAGAGGGGCAGGCCTCAGTGTCAGGGGCACCGTGGGCCTCGGGCACCAGACTGGCAAGCTGAGGCGATGGGGCCCCACACCAGGATGTGAGGCAGGGACAAGGTTTGTGAAGAAAGCCACTCTGGCCATGGAGAAGGGGAGGGGGGTAGTGGGCAGAGAGAAAGAGGGGGCGAGGCTGGAGTGGGGCCTGCCCCATGCCAACCCCAAGTCCCTCCTGCAGGAGTTGGAAGACCTGGCTTCGGATTGTCTCCTATTTTCCCAGGTATGCCCCGGCTCCCTACCCTGTGCCCTGTGCTGCAGCTCTGGCCCCAAGCCTTCCCCTCCCCTGCTTCATCTCCTGCTCAGGAGGGCTAGGTCAAGCCCCAGGAGGGGTCCCCTATCCTCAGGTTACACCGCGCTGGGCTCCCCTTTATTCTTCTCTTCCCCGCTTGCAAGGCCAGGGAGCATCAGCTTTTCTGAAACACCAGTTCCAAATGGGGTAAACTGAGGTTCATAGAGTACCAGGGACTGACCCAAGGTCACACAGTGAGTGAGGCAGAGCCAGGCTCCCAAGCCCAGAACCTGGCCCCTCTCAAGCGAGGCCCATGCTGCCAGGAGGCCTTGGCAACTTCCAGAAGTGGCACACTCACCGCCCCTCTCCTGTGTTGCAGGTGGCGGAGCCGGAGTCGGGGCTGGGGGCCTGGGAGTTGGTGGTGAGTCTGCAAGAAGAAGGAGGGGCCCCACTTCAAGCAATGCTCTGAGCTCCTCTCCTGGGGTGGAGGGGGGAAGAGTCCTGTTGAGGGAGTGGCTAGTATGACCACAACCCTTGGCTGGGCCTCTGGTGTGGGGGCTTGAGGGGAATCACAGAGGCTGACAGTTCAGCCCTGGGGTGTGGGGATAGGAGGCAAGGATTCTGACTCCTAGAGCTCCCAGCCTGGCACTTCTCTAGGGACCAGGACTGAGACAGGGACCTGCGTCACCCTGGAGCTTAGGGTCTAAGTGCTGAGGCTGACAAGCTCCCACAGAAAAAGAAAGAAACTGTAAGGGAAGAGCAAGGTCCATCAGGCAGGCAGCCAGGGGCGTCAAAACCTCTCTGATACCAGCATGTTAGCTGGCAAGGCTGGGGTCTGGCTATGGTGGGAGGGGCACCCTCCAAGCTGCTCAGACCTCTATATGCAGGATATGACCCGCAAGGCTTTCAGAACCTTCGGTGATAGGATCGAGGCCCTATGTGGTGGGGGCCCTGAGAGAGGCAGGAAAGCCAGGTCCCCTCCCCAATCCCTACCTCTCCTCCCACAGGCAAACCTCCCAAGCCCTATGGAGGTGCCCTGGGAGCTCTAGGGTACCAAGGTGAGTGGAGCAAGGAAGACAGCATGGAGGGAGGGGCAGAGACGGAGGCAGAGCCTGGGCCCATCAGTCTGGGAGAGGGAGGAGCACGTTTGGACTAAGCCTGGCAGTAGTGGGGAGGCTGGAGGAGCTGCACAGCTCACCCATCCCTTCTTCTGCCTCCAACACAGATGATCAGAGCTGGGAGTAGGCCCAGGACCCCCCATACTCACCCAGCCAGGCCTGGCCTAGCAGTCCCTGCCTCCCTGCTGCCCACACGACCTCCCTTCCCCCGCCCCCCACTTTCAGGAAGGAGCCAAGAGAAAGAGAAGGGAGAGGAGGGGGGAAGAACTCAGAGGAGCAGACACAGGGGGAGAAAATGGATGAGATGATGGGAGCCATAGGGTTCGGGAAATCTGAAGGGTGGGCAGGGGGACCCAAGGTGCCCACGCTGGGCAGAGTGGGCAGAGGCCACTACCTGGCACCGAGCCACACCCTTGCTCACAAATGCACACATGCTTCTGGAAGTGTGTGGGGTGGGTCCTGATCACCACCTCCCAAGCTCCTCCCAACAATGCCCAAGGGAGACCCAAAGAAGCCGCAGCTCCACCCCTAGGGTTGCTCAGACTGTGGATTCCCTTCCACCACCACCCGACTCCCGCCCGCCCCCGCCTGCTTCCCGCTACACAGATGAGGCAGCTGAGGCAAGGCCAGGGCTGGAGAGGCTGAGGCAAGACCAGCCTGGCCCTTTCCAGGGTGCCTAGTGGTGCCTGGGGCCATAGCCCCTTGCTTTCCAAACACCCTGGATGAGCTTCGCACAGAGGCCTGTCCCTGCCCCACTTGGCTTCTCACTGCCACCAGGTGGCGGTAACAAGCCATGTCTATCTCCCACAGGGGTAGGAACTACTCCAGCCCTCCAACCAGAAAATGGTGCCTTGATGATTAGAAACAAGGTTTACCAATCAGACCCTCCCCAGGAGAGGGCAGGGGTCCTGGGGTCCCGTCCCAAGTTAACCACTGACTGTGGATGAGTACGGCTCTCACTCTCTCTGGGCCTCAGTTTACTCATTTGAGGCACTGGCTTGTTTGTCTCACTATCTCCCTTGTGGGGGGGGTGCTCTGAGTCACTCACTAAAGGCTTCCCAGATGGAGTGGATTCAGAGAATAGAGACCTTGCCCAGGCCCAGTCTCTCCCAGACCTGGACCCATGGCCTGGCCTCTTCCCTTCTCTGAGACTTGGTTTCATCAACCACATCTTGAGCCCTGGTCCCACCCACCTGTCCAGCGGGAGTTTGTACGATGAGTTTGGCCTGGGGTGGAGCCCAGGCTTCTGGAGGCTTCTTGGAGCCTCTGTTCCCCATGGTGATGATGCTGGAGTTGGTCAGTGGGCAGTGGCGTGAGCAGCAACGGGGAGGGGCCAGACTAACCTTGTGTGTGCCCCTCCCACCCAGGTGGAGCCTGCCTGGGGAAATCCTGTGGCCGGAAGAGAAAGTGAGCTTCCCAGGACCCCTGACTCACGACCTCATCAACGTTGGTGCTACTGCTTGGTGGAGAATGTAAACCCTTTGTGACCCTCCCCTCTACGCCCCCTCCTACGTCCCCACCTCTGGAGGGGACAGGGCTGGCCGGGCGGACTTGGAAATCCACAGGACAAGGAAACAAGAGAACGGTGGCCAAGCGGGCCCTGGGAAGCCCCTACTTCAGAGGCGAGGGGTGGGTGGGCTTGGCCCCCTGCCCCCTCTCCCTTCCCACCCAGGAGCTCCCCCTCCATACACTCTCCATCTCCAGGGGAACTCGGTGCTAAGTGCTGGTGCTTTCATCTTCCCAGGGGAGGGAGGAGGGAAGGGCAGCCCCTCTGGAAGCCCCCTCCCTGGGGCTCCTCTGAAAATGGTGCAGACACTTCCTGGGCAGTCCCACCTCCCCCTGCCCACCAGGACCCACCCCTGGCTGCGGTCCAGTTGGTACCCAAGCATCACAAACCTCAAGCTGGATTCGGTCACACCATCTCTTGGCCCCGTCGGCCCCCTTTTCCTCCACCAATCACTGTTCCCCATTTCTGGGGCACCTCAGATCAGAAGAACCCCAATGGGAATAGCCCTCTTTCTCTTGTGGAATTCATCCGCCCATCTGTCCATCCATCCATCCATCCATCCATCCTTGCCCCCAGTTGTCCGCCTGGCACCACTAGCTGGCTGGGCACCCCAACCACCAACCTGGTTAACCTGTCATGGCAGCATGTGCCCTGCCTTTGCCCCACCACACACACCCCTACAAAGGGGCCCAGGGTGTGAGGGGCGGTGCCAGCTGGGGCGGCAGGAATCTCCTCCCTAACCTGGGTCCCCCCACGCAGTACTGTATCCCCCATCCCTCCCTCGAGCCACTGTACTTCACAGCATCTCCCACCCCTGCCCCGCCCATCTCTTTGTGTCTCGCTGTGATAGATCAATAAATATTTTATTTTTTGTCCTGGATATTTGGGGATTATTTTTGATTGTTGATGTTTTCTCTTGATTTTATTTTTGTGATTAATTGAAAAAAAATTTTTTTTTCTGATCTGGGGAGCTATATCCCCAGAAGAAAATTCATTTTAATCACTTTGGTATAACTCTGGATGAAACACACATTTTTTAAAATAAGAAAAGAGAATTAACTGCTTCAAAAAAGACTAATAAATGAAAATATTTTAAAGGAAACTGTGTCTTGGCCTCCTTTGTAATCCCCTCATCTGCCGCCGGCTCCAAGCCCAGAGAGGGAACAGGGCTCGGCCATGGGAAACCTCCGCTGTTCAAGGTGTATTTGGGGGGCTGTTCACCAGAATCCCCTGCTGTTGGCTTCCGAGGTTTGATCCTTCTCCAAGTTCGGATTGTCCTTTAACAATTAAAACCCCTTTGTAGGGGAAACAGGGCCAGCCAGGACCCCCCTCAACCCCAGCCCCTGCCCCATAGAACTAAGATGAGCGCAGGGACTGGTGGCGGCCTCTGAGCACTGAGGGTGCAGCTGGAGGGGAGGAGTAAACGAAAGTGACCCTTCTATCCAGACCAAACCCTTGGCCTTGGTGAACAGCAGTACAGAAAGGAGAAAACGGCCCTACCTACGAAAACTAGAAGACGTGTTTTCCTCCGAAACACCCACTCTCACACATGGCCAAGTAAGGTACCACTTCACTTCCTTATAAAACATAACAGCCCTGCCCAGTTTGGCTCCATGGATATAGCGTCGACCTGTGGACTGAAGGGTCCCAGGTTCGATTCTAGTCAAGGGCACATGCCCAGGTTGAGGGCTCGATCCCCAGTGGGGAGTGTGCAGGAGGCAGCCAATCAATGATTCTCTCTCATCATTGATGTTTCTATCTCTCTCCCTCTTCCTTCCTCTCTGAAATTAATAAAAATGTATTAAAAACACACACACACACTAAAACTTTCATTTAAAAATAAAATAAAATATAACAAATGTCACCTGCAGGTGGCACTGGGAGACTCAGTACCACTCTTAGATGCACCCATCTACAGAGACATGCCCCTCCCTTTGGGGCCAGAAATCCATGGGGCCTGGGGCCATGCCTACCACTCCCTTCTAGACTAGCTCTGGATACCAGATTCCGGAATTCCTTCCCCAAACCACCAAGTCCACTTCAGGGACCACATGGCCTCATGCCTGCATCTGACCTCCTGGGGCAGACCCAGGGCCAGTGACACACCCCTAAGTCAGAAGGAGCTATTTGTTGGGAGTGTGGACGGAGTAGGCAGACTGGACTCTCTTGCATTTGTTCGACAGGACCTCTGCAGTGCAGAAGGAGTTGGGATGGAAAGAGAAAGAGGATGGGATGATGCTCAGAGAGAGCTTCCTAGAGGCTAATAGAGTGCAAAAAGCAATTTATCAGGCAAAGAAAAAAGCCGGGAGGAGCGCCATGCCTTTCGAGCAGGGAGAGCAGCCTGTGTAAAGGCCTAGAGGGCAGGACAGTGGGAGTGTCCTAGTGAGCCAGGGCAGAGCTAAGAAAAGATGGAAGGTGAATCTGAAGTTGGTAGGGGGTGGGTTCATGGAGACCCACAGGGGCCTGCTATGGCCATCAGTGAGGAGTGACAGCCTGCCCAAGAACAGTGGCAAAGGAGATTCATTCATTCATTTATTCCTTCAACAAAAATATCCCTTGTGATCCCTCTTCAGTTCTCTGGCCTCTGAAAGTTGGCCAGCTCCAGCTGGGGGCATCATTGTTGCTTTGGTTTCTTATGGTTCATGGCTTTAAATACAACCCATGAACTGGCAACTCCCAAGGTGATACCTCCAGCATAGACCTCGCCCCTAAGCTGCAGCCTTGCACACCCAAGGCCAGTTCTTATATCTCTACCTGGAAGTCTCAAAGGCATCAATGCATAGCATGGTTCCCCACCCCACACCCCGCCCCACCGTCCCAGCTCAGTAAATAGCAGCTCCAGTGGATCAGGCTGGCAGCTTGGAGCCATCTCTGGGTCCTCTCCTCCCACTCCCCATAGCAGATTCGCCAGCAAGTTCTGCGATAGATCTATCTTCAGAAGATATCCAGAGTCCAGCCACTTCTCACAGCCTCCAGGGTCCGCCAGCAGCTAGTGCCTGGAATTACTACACAGCTTCCTAACTGGCTCCCTGATTCTGCCCTGGCTCTCCAAGCAGCCTTCTCTCCACACAGCAGCCAAAACAATTCTCTTACAATGTAAGTCAGTTCAGGTCATGTGTCTGCTCAGAATCCTGCAATGGCTCTCATCTCGCTCAGGCACAAAGCCAGCAGCCTTTCAAAGGCTCAGAAGCCCCTACCTGAGTTGCACCAGCTGTTCTGACCTCACATCCTGCTACTCAGCCCTCCACCAGGCCATGCGGTTACACCAGGCCATGCGGGCCCTCTTGTTCTTTCTGTGGCCAGCTGGCCCCCCATTGCAGGCCTCCACGTCTGCTGTCTCTCCTGCCCAGAATGCTCTTTCCTCAGCTATCAATGCACTTGGCTCCCTCATCTCCTTCAGGTCTTGACTCAAATGTCACCTTCTCGGAAGGTCCTTCCCTATCCCCTAAAATTGCAACCTCTACCCTCCCATGTGCAGCATTCTCTCACCCTGCCCCTGCCTTCTTTTTCTCTAGATTGTCCTTCTTTTTTTTTTTAATGAACTCTCCATAGCAGAATGTAAACTCCTTAAGGAGTTTTACATTCTTAAAACAGTTTTAAAACTGTTTTAAAACTCCTTAAAACAGTTTTACACTGTTTTAAGAACAAAATCTATAAACTCCCTGCTTTCCCTAGTTATACACTCTGGTAGATAGATAGCAAGCAAGTGTACTGATAATAGCCACAAAGATATCCAGGTCCTAATCCCTGGAGCCTTATAAATACAGTGGGGCCTTGACTTACAAGTGTCCTGACTAACGAGTTTTTTGAGATACCAGCTGTCTCTCCGCTGATTTTTTGCATTGAGTTGATAGAGTAATTTGAGTTAACGAGCTCCTTAACGAGCTCGGTCTCAGAACGAATTAAACTCGTAAGTCAAGGCCCCACTGTATTAGTCTGGTTGGGTTGCCATAACAAAGTACCACAGACCGGGGGGCTTTAACAACAGAAATTTATTTCCTCACAGTTCTGGAGGCTGGAAGTCCAAGATCAAGGTGTTGGCAGGGTTGGTTCCTTCTCAGGCCTCGCTCCTTCACTTGCAGATGGCCATCTTCTCCCTCTCTCCTCACATGGTCTTCCCTCTGTGCATTTCTGTGACCTAATCGCCTCTTCCTATAAGGACACTGGTTTTACTGGCCTAGGTTCCACCCTAGTGACCTCATTTTAACCTAGTTGCCTCTTTAAAGACTTCATCAACAAACATAGTCATATCCTGACGTACTGGAGTTAGGACTTCAATGTATGAATTTGGGTGGGACATAATTCAGCCCAAATGTGATTAAGTTAAGAGTCTTGAGCTGGAAAGATTATCCTATATTATCAGGGTGGGGCCCAAGTGCAATCATATATATTATTATACGAAACTGAAAGAATTGCATGGCAACAACTTGGATAACCTACAAGAAATTGATAAATTCCAAAAAACATACAACCTACCACCTGACCAGCTTGGCTCAGTGGTTGAGCATCAACCTATGAACCAGGAGATCACAGTTCGATTCCCGGTCAGGGCACATGCCTGGGTTGTGGGCTCAGTCCCCAGTGGGGGCCGTGCAGGAGGCAACCAGTCAATGATTCTCTCTCATCATTGATGTTTCTATCGCTCTCTCCCTCTTCCTTCCTCTCTGAAATCAATAAAAATAATATATTATTAAAACACAACCTACCAAGACTGAAGAACTAGAAAATCTGAACAGACCAATAACAAGTAAGGAGATTAACTCAGTAATCAAACATTTCCCAATTAAAAAAAAAAAAAGCCAGGATCAGATTTCTTCACTAATGAATCCTACCAAACATTTAAAGACAAATTTAGACCAATCCTCTTGAAACTCTTACAAAAATTAAAAAGGAGAAAACACTTCCAAGTTCATTCTTTTTTTTTTTCAATTGTTACTTTTTATTTATTTATTTATTTATTTATTTATTTATTATCATCATTATTATTATTATTATTTTTGCTTAAAGTATTACAAAGGGTATTACATATGTGTCCTTTTTTTTTCCCCGCCCTTGACAATCCCCTGGCCTCCCCTACCCCCCAGTGTCTTATGTCCATTGGTTATGCTTATATGCATGCATACAAGTCCTTCGGTTGATCTCTTACCCCCTTCCCTCCTGCCCCCCAACCCTCCCCAGCCTTCCCGCTGCAGTTTGACAATCTGTTTGAGGCAGCTCTGCCTCTGTATCTATTATTGTTCAAGAGTTTGTAATGGTCTCTATTATCCATGAATGTGTGAGATCATGTGGTATTTTTCCTTCATTGACTGGCTTATTTCACTTAGCATAATGCTTTCCAGTTCCATCCATGCTGTTGCAAATGGTAAGAGTTCCTTCTTTTTTACAGCAGCATAGTATTCCATCGTGTAGATGTACCACAGTTTTCTAATCCATTCATCTACTGATGGGCACTTAGGCTGTTTCCAGATCTTAGCTATGGTGAATTGTGCTGCTATGAACATATGGGTGCATATATCTTTTCTGATTGGTGTTTCTGTTTCCAAGTTCATTCTAAGAGGCCAGCATTACCCTGATACCAAAGACACCACAAGAAGAAAAAACTACAGAGATGTGACATCAGCAAAATGGCTGAACAGGAGGTCTTCAGCCCACATTCCCTTACAGAAACAATTCTAAAATTCATATGGAACTACAAAAGACCCCAAACAGCTAAAGCATGAAGAACAAAGCTAGAGACACCACACTTGCTGCTTCAAAATATATCACAAAGCTATAGTAATAAAAACAGACATATAGACCAATGGAACAGAATAGAGTACAGGCCCTAGCTTGTTTGGCTCAGTGGATGGAGCATCGGCCTGTGGACTGAAAGGTCCCGGG